CTAACCTTTCAGGAACTTCACCATTCCAGTCAGTTCATAGCACTACCACCGGTCCTCCTCTGGGACGACGATGTGGACGGTGTGACCATTGCGGAAAAATTGGTCACATCAAATCTCGTTGTTATGCTCTACATGGACGCCCACTGCAACAGAAACAACAGCCTCGATCCTTTGCACATTGTGTTACACAACCAGTCTCATTATCAACTCCTGACAACCCTGCCTCTACATTTTCTGCCACAATTACCTTGACTCAAGCTGATTTGGACAAGTTTAAGCAATTCTTCAACCAAATGGAGGCATCATCTCATCCAACCTCCACTTCTGCCCACTCAGGTACTATTGCATCTACACATAGCGTATCTAAATCTTCGACACCATGGATCATTGATTCTGGTGCTTCAGACAATATGACTGGTATGTCCTCACTCTTCCAATCTTATAGTATTTGCTCTGGCCAACACAAGGTCCGCCTTGCGGATGGCTCTCCATCTTCCATTGCTGGGAAGGGTCACATATCAGTTACTCCTTCATTAACTTTGTCAAATACACTTCATGTTCCAAAGCTGACTACAAATCTTATTTCTGTTATTAGCGTTACCAAATAATTAAATTGTAGTGTAACGTTCTTTCTCTCTCATTGTATTTTTCAGGATCTGGCGTCGAAACAGACGATTAGCAGTGGGCGTGAAGTGGACGGTTTATACCTGTTGGATGCTCCTTTGTCACCTCAAGCACATTCAACTTCATTTTCTAATATTGTTTCATCTAATAAAGCCCAACTTATGCGTTGGCACATGCGTTTAGGACATATTTCTTTCGGTTATTTGAAACATTTATTTCTTTCCTTATTTTGTAACGTGGCAGTGTCAGATTTATCCTGTGAGACATGTCATATAGCTAAACATATTCGTTCCAATTATCCTGCTAGTAGTAATAAATCTGCTTTAACACCTTTTGATCTTGTTCATTCAGCTATGTGGGGTCCTTGCCCAGTTACTTCTAGTCTTGGATTTCGATATTTCGTGTTGTTCATTGATGATCATAGTCGTGTCACTTGGGTTTATCTTATGAAAACCAAAAATGAGGTATACACCATTTTTAAAAATTTTATGACAATGGTTCAGACTCAATATGGTTATACCATTAAAAAATTCAGATCTGACCAGGGTGCAGAGTACACTTATGGGGAGGTACAACGGTTTTTGATAAAATTTGGGATTGAGCATCAGATGGCTAATGTTAAAACTCCTCAACAAAATGGTCGTTCTGAGAGAAAGAATCGCCACATCCTTGACTTAGCCAGAGCAATCTGCATTGGCACGGATGTTCCCCAGTCATTTTGGGGAGATGCAGTTCTTATCGCTGTTTACATCATTAATAGAACTCCTTCTAGGATTCTTAACTTTGCAGCCCCACTTTCAATCTTACATCCCAATTCATCTCTCTCTTTTTTTTTTTTTATTCCTCCGCGAGTCTTCGAGTGTGTGTGCTTTGTTTAACAGTTGGGGCAGACTCGTACAAAGCTTGACCCCAAGGCTTTGAGGTGTGTGTTTTTGGGCTATTCTCACTCTCAAAAAGGTTATAGGTGTTACCATCCACCCAGTTGTCGGCAGTTTATATCCATGGATGTTTCTTTCTTTGAGCATACACCATACTATAGTGGTTCAGTTAGTTCCCAGAGTGAGTGGTTACCATTGAATATAATGGATGATCACCTTCTTCCGTCTTTAACTCCTCTACCGTTACCTGTTTTGTCTTCTATGATTCCTCCTCGTGACACCCTTCCAACAGGGGGAATTGTTCCTTTTTGCAGGTTTATAGTCGGAGACAACAGGTACAAGCTTCTACTCCCACGATCGACTACCCTGTTCCTTCAGCACCAGCTCCGCCTTCTCAAGCTATTGTTTCGCTTGATGATCACCCCATTGCTCTTCGAAAGGGTAAACGTTCTTGTACATACCCTATTTCTAATTTTGTTTCTGAGTATGCTCTCTCACCCTCTTATCAGAGTTTTCTTGTTTCTGTTGCCTCGGGTCCTGTTCCTTGTAGTGTTGCAGATGCACTAGCACAACCTCAACGGCGTGATGCTATGACAGAAGAACTACAAGCACTTGAGAAAAATCAGACTTGGGACATGGTTTCGCTTCCTATTGGACGAAAGGCTGTGGGTTGTCGTTGGGTGTTTACAGTTAAGCATAATCCAGATGGGTCAGTTGCTCGTTACAAGGCCCAATTGGTTGCCAAGGGTTATGCTCAGACTTGTGGCATAGATTATCAGGAGACTTTTGCCCCAGTTGCCAAGATAAATACCATCCGTGTATTATTTCCGTTGTTGCAATTCGATCTTGGCCTCTATTTCAGTTAGATGTCAAGAGTGCCTTTCTCAATGGTTATTTGCAGGAGGAGGTGTACATGGTTCCTCCTCCGGGTTTTCGTTCGCCTGCTCATTCTAGTATGGTATGTCGTCTTCATCGTTCTCTGTATGGCCTCAAGCAGTCTCCTCGAGCTTGGTCTGATCGCTTTGGCACTGCTATGCTCAAGTTTGGTTTCCATCAAAGTGCAGTTCATCACACCTTGTTTTTACATCATTCAGGCGGTAAGACAGTTGTTCTCATTGTGTATGTCGATGATATTGTTCTTACCGGTGATGATACTACCGGAATTGATGAGGTTAAGAGCTATCTTGGTTGTCAGTTTGAGATTAAGGATCTTAGTCCCCTACGGTACTTCTTGGGCATTGAGGTGGCTCGCTCCAAGACTAGCATTTTCATCTCTCAACGTTAGTATGTTCTTGACTTACTTTCTGCTTCTGGTCAGCTTAGCGCTCATCCTGCTGATACTCCGATTGAGCAGAATCATCGGTTGGCTGATTCTGAAGGGGAGTTGTTGTCAGATGTTGGTCAGTATCAACGAATTGTGGGGAAGCTTATCTATTTATCCATGACTCGACCTGACATTGCTAATGCCGTGAGTGTCGTGAGTCAATTCATGCACTCTCCTCGTGCCCCTCACCTTGATGCAGCTATTCGGATCCTTCGCTACTTAAAAGGGTGTCCAAGCCGTGGTATTTTGTTTGCCAATCATGGTCACTTACGTGTTGAGGCTTGGACATATGCTGATTATGTAGGATCAATTTCAGATAGGAGTTCAACTTCGGGTTATTGTACCACTATTGGTGGTAACTTGGTTACTTGGCGCAGTAAGAAGCAGGATGTTGTCTCTCGATCTAGTGCAGAGGCAGAGTATGGGGCTATGGCTCTTGGGGTAGGTGAGTTGCTATGACTGAAAACCTTGATGACAGAATTATGCCTTCCAGTGTCGCTTCCATTCTCACTTTACTGCGACAACAAGTCTGCCATTAGCATAACAGCAAATCCCGTTCAGCATGACAGGACTAAGCATATAAAGGTGGACCGTCACTTCATTCTAGAGAAGATCATCTTTGGTCAAATTTGTACTCCATTTGTCACAAGCTCTCAGCAGCTTGCAGACATTCTTACAAAGGGCGTTAGCAAGATTGTGTTTGAGAAATATCCACACACCAACTTGAGGGGGAGTATTAGCATACCACGATTTATGGTATGACTTACCATAATAGCAGAGATTTGACTATGCATATGTTAGCATATATGATAACCACTATTTATGGAATGACTTACCATAATAGCAGAGATTTGACCATGCATATGTTAGCATATATGATAACCACTATTTATGGAATGACTTACCATAATAGCAGAGATTTGACTATGTTATAGAATATGACATAGAATATGCTTTAGAATAAGTTGTGATTTGATTTAGTTTCCTTTCTTGTAATATGAGCATGTGCTCATTTTATCTATAAATACTAGAGCTGTGAATGAGTAATTGATATTATTCAAGCCTTTACACAATTCTCTCCTTTCTCTTCTTTTTATATTTCTACTAATAGATAAAGACAGATAATCTTTTTATTGGGATATGGAAAAAGTAATAGATTGACCTATGTTTAGGTGATAGGTCTTATAGAAGCTATAAAGGAGATTTATATATATACATACAAGGAAATAATATTATAACATAGATGATAAGCATGCTTGAGTAAAGGAGAAGAAGGCGCATGGCTTCTTTGGGTATACATGGGATTATCGTATGAAGCTTGGATTGAGATCAAGGGAATCTGATTACTTAGTTTTAGGTATTTTGATATTTTTAGAAGTCTATAAATAAGAGAAGTAAAGGACTTCACAAGGGTCCTCGACCAACACCACATTGCATTTCAATTACCTATTTTAATACAATGTCTTTACTTTTCACGCAATTTCCTTTCCTTATTATTTAAATTAATGCATTTTCCTTCAAACGCAATTTCGTTTTGATTGCACTTCTTTTGGAAGTCCTCTTCATCGAGACAAGTTGAATCCTAACTCCTAAGAGGAGTTTGTATACCCTCTCCTTGACAATTACCTGATTAAGTTTCACATCTAAGGAATAAAACATTCGAACAATATCCATATCCTTGAGTCTAGGACATAGGCTCTGGCACTCTTGCAATCAGCTGCACATAAATTGGTTGACCTAGCCGATTAATTAGTCAAACAATGTTCTAGTTATGTGTATGTTCATATAAAGAGAGAAAGGGGCAAAGTAATCTTTGAAATGGAAGGATGGAGGGTTTGTCCTATAGTAGAATGGTTCATGGTTCTTATGTCTTTTTACTCGTTTGAAGCGAAAAATAGACATTTTGTTTTGTTAAAATGCTGATGTCAGCAATTTTTAACGGTCAACCAGCTTGACCGTCATGGCAGGGGTTTTAGTGTCATGAAAACATAAACATTAGGGGGTGGTGTGTTAATTTTTGGAAACGCAAGGGAACACTGTAATTTATGAGTTCATGAGGCAGTGTGCGTAATTTTTCCAAAAATATTTGGTGCATCTGAGGATGGGGTGAAGGGAACCTAAAAATAAGAAATATTACCAATTAATAATAACATGAGCAACAATATCACACAAACCTCAAGGTATCAGTGAGGGAATGTAGAGCAGCTTTAGATGCACCGTAAGCGCCTGCCCATGGTGCAGGGCACAATGCAATAACACTTCCAACATTTACAATCTTCCCCCTCTTCCGGAGTACCATGTGAGGAACCACAGCTTGAATCAACCTCATGGGACCTATATCGCATAAAAAAACAATAAAGATATGAGAAGGAAAATAACCATGTCATAAGCATAAAAGCAAACTAGTATCATACAGCCAGTTATATACTCTCAAAAGTAGACAAAACTTGGGGAACAAAATGACTGTGTATTATATATATAAATGTGTGTGTGTGTAGCTTAAAACAAGAGGAGAAGGTTAAAGGCATGAATATTGATCTTGTGATGCTACTATCTTGCCATTACAGAATGTTGTATGGCCTATTTCCATGCGGACATGTCATGCTGACAAACATGAGATGAAACTACATTTGATCTCCATATTTAGAATTAAGCGCATGGAAGAGAGCATGCTGTGCAGTTATAATGAAAAGCTGCAGGAAACACAGTAAGTGTCCATAGAATCAATACAGTTTAGTTAGAAAGGTGAAATTCACACTCCAATAGAAGTGTCCGGCACTCCAAAATATGTTACAATAATAGATAACTTAGAACAGGGAGTGGAATGATGGACTCTCTTTTGGAGTGGGAATATCCATTAGTTAAAATGCGATAAATTAGCAGGTAATATAGCAAGAAGTTAGAGTGATCAGCAATTCAAGAGAACTCTACTAAAGCAATTTGAAGGAATAGATGATTTTGTCTATAGATAGTGCTTAGCTAACTGCATTAGTTACTGACAATCATCTAGAGGTAGATTTGAACCACTGTAAACACACGGCATGCCCAGCTTAAGTGCTGAAAAATTCCTGTAGCCAAAGGCAGGTTAAACGATCAGCGATCAGTTCAATGCCAATGCTTTTCTGCCAAGGCATTCCCCAACACTTCCTAGTTTCCGCTTAGCAATCACGCCATTCCTTGAGCTTCTGGTGTGACTTAGTTCTTGGTAAGTTCATTTTGCTCACACTGACTATTGTCAGAATTGTGCTCAAAAAAGAACTTCAATATTTAGAAGTCACCCAGATTCAGAGATGGTGAAATTGAAACCGACATACAAGTCTAAGAGGGTCTCATTAAAGAATCAATATGTGTTGTGAGGTGTAAGTCATGTAGAATCAGCATTGGCGCTCAGGACAATTAGTTGCTGTTCTGGTGGCACTGCTGTTTTCAGGATCTTCCCTAGCATGGAGACATACTCATTGAGACTGCGCATGAGAGGAGGCATTTTGAGTAGTGTAATCTAGCAGAAAGTAGAGAAGGTTATGATGTTTGATTTTCACATAATACTGTCAGCAAGATGTAGTATGTCTAGTTGAGAGTCTCAGTACCATCAAAGTAGATGATGCACTACTTGGACTATCAGACGACGTTAAAACATGAAGAAAATAGAACAGTTGTTGGTATATGGCATACATTGATTTTCCTGATGGACTCATGACGCATTGTTCTGTGACGCCATAAATCAATTCTATGACCTAAATTAGAAATGGAAATAGGGTCAAACTACCAATGATATTCATCCTACAAATTCCAGTTTAAGGATATGCAACAAGTCTAGGATGAGACCATCGCCTCATTCCATAATTTATTCTGCCAGTAACTGTCAGAAAATAGACCCAAAGTCCGAAAGGATTTCATGAAGGAAAGTGCTATTTCTGCAGCCTCCTCTAATCCATTTACATTGGTGGAATCCACCAACATGAAAGGAGTCTGCAGCAGCAGCCATTTTAGCTGTCGATTTTTAACAGCCTGCCTTTTCATAAATAAGACTAGTGACAAATTCTATTCAAGATGCACATTCAAAACTAAAAGTAAACTAATCTGAGTGCAAACAAAATTTAATTCAGATTAAACCTTCAACAAACAGCATTAAATAAATATATATATATATATATATATATATTTGATGAGTTTATTTGATTTTCAATTTAGATCTTTACAAGTGATATCTTATTTACACTTAAGAGTAGTGCTATAGATTAAGAAGATATTGGCCAGACAGCAGTAAATATCATTAATTAATGCTCAAACTTAGTTAGAACAATAAACTACATTCATTTCATTTACCATACAATATTAAGATGGGTATATAGATTATAGACAAACTGGTAGAGAACTCAGAACAGTGGCAGCAAGCAGAGGACAGTGACAGTAGCCTTTTAAAGTATATAAAAGCGTAAGTAGACATTACGTTTACACGATCCGGAAACAAAAGATTGGATAATCATCAAGAGATTGAGTTGCTGTCACAGATTTTGGAACAACTTAAAGGGCTGAATACTCGATGCAGTGAGATAGGAGCTCGAATTTGGCAGCCTTTTAACAAATTGGTAGCCCTTGAACAAGAAACTGCATTCAGCGCTAATGATGGCAGAAAGCAGGAGCAACAACAGCCTATAAACCCTCAGCAATGGTGTAGTTGAAGGCAGATCCACCACTACCTCCCATGTTGGAGTTTCCAAGAAATCCATTAGAAGTGAATCATCATGGACCACATGATGCCGCTGGAGATATTCCAAAGAAGTCAAGTGATGGAACGTGCAGCACACCGCCAACAACAATGCTGCCAAATGGCGGACCAAATGCATCTTTCTATAACATGGCTCATTCTGAAGGAAAGATACGATGGCTAGCAAGGATCGTGATAACCTGCTTGATGATGAGACTTGCAACACTGATCATCTGAAAGAAGTTGGAGAGAATGTTTCCTCCATCTCCATTGTGACGCGCATCCTTGAAGACCCTAAAGTTGGTGGCAAAGATGGGCAGAAGACATCTAATTTCACATGCAAGTTCGTCGTGGAAATGGCAGAACTTGCATGAATGTTGTGTCCACAGCCACAGTTGAGTGCCTCAAGCCTTTGATCCAACCATGTCCACAACCATTCAAAGTGGCTTGGATAGATAGTACTTGTACTTTGAATCTGCCAAAAGATGCAACTATCGGAGTAGATACTTGGTGTATATTAGTGGGCACTTCAAAGAAATGGGAGCAGCATGTTTGTGCCAAGAAGCAACAGAAGCCGGTTCAAACATCCACCAACTAGGTAGATGAGGTCTGGAAAAACCGAACTAATCTTGTGAGGGATAAGCTAGAGGGGTCTCGCGCATCAAAAGAGCATTTTAAAGGGTTTAAGTTTTCCTACTATTTCCTCAGTTGGTCCTATTGCAGCAATTATGCATTATAAACTAGAGCAGAAAACATGTTTAGGACTTGATCCAAACAGCATTTGTCTATTCAATTCGGGAGCACAGTACCCAGATGGAACCAACAGGGTTGCTCTTTATGTTCTTGCTCGAATACATTCGTGGAAGGATAGCCTTGATTTTCGACAGGGTACTGGACATGGATTTGGTATCAGAGGTGATGGGTCGGATGCTGATTTTGTTTTGGGGTTGCCTAGAACTAGTCGAGGACATGATGCTGTAATCATTGTTCTGGATCGTTTTTCGAAAAAGGCGCATTTCCTTCTATGTTCTAAGACCTCCAATGCTGTCCACAATGCCAAACCTTTTTTTCAAGATGTTGTCCGACTTCATGGGTTGCACAACACTATTGTTTCTGATTGAGCTCTGAAGTTTATGCTTTGTTTTTGGTGCAAATTATGGAAATTGCTGAATACAAGGCTGAAATTTTCTTGCTCTTTTCACACTTATGAGCAATTTCATCCCTTCGTTGGAGCCGAGTTTTTCCAAGCCGGAGAGAATTGGTAGAGAACAGTGGCAGCAAGTAGAGGACAGTGGCAGCAGCCTTTAAAAGTATATAAAAGGTGTGGCAAGGAGGGTTCAAAGGCTCAAACCTTAATTTGGCACATGCTAGGGTTTTAAGGTTCAAACCTTAATTTGGCACATGCTAGACGATGGGGGTCCACTTGGAGTCTTGCATAATTAGGGGGTTTGGTCAAATTCCATAATTTTTGTAAATTGCATCAATTATGGTGAAAATGCATTGTTTTGGTAAATTGCATCAATTAGATTAAATTGCACCAATTAAGTTATTTGTTACTTTATTATGCTAGAGTCAACTTTTGATTACCTCCATTGTATGGTAATCCAAGGGTCACCAGTTGTTATAAAAAGGATATTATGTAATTCTGATTAATCAGTCAATGAATGAATAAAAATATCTTTGAGATTTCTTTGTGAGTGATTCACAAATTCTGAGGGTGTGAGGCTTTCTCTAGGTGTGATGCCTAAGCCCTATTGGTGTGATTCCAATAGGTTTCTGTTGTTTTCAATCCTCTCTCTCTACTAATAATATCTTTAACCATAGCTCTATTTATTTGAATTTCCTGCCACTTCTCCTTTGTTTTTCTACATTTCTACCATCGAACCTCCAAACTTCAGCTCTAGTTCTTTGAACTTTCAGCATCTGAATTCTTTAGTTCTTAACTATTTAAGGCTTCTCCCTTATCCTACATCATAAACATGATGTACTACGTAAAACTGCTGTCAAAACAAGTGCATGCTTTTGCACAGATAGATCCAATGTTACAAAGTCAGACCAAGTAATGCAACAAACACTGATCACTCACAATAATAGGCAGCGTGACTGTAAGTTACTGTTACTATCAGTATGGTAACACCTTTATCATTCGTCACTTTTGCCACCCCTTTTTTGGAAATATCTTTTCTTTTCTTTTTTAAAGAAAAAACTCTAAGCAAAGCAGAATATAGTTTACACACCTTAATTTGGCTTTTTGTTTCAAGCACCATGTATACATGTAATGTTCATTCTTTAAGCTTTTACAATTTATAACTATAGCCTTAGAACATAGATACAGAAAGATCATGCAAGAGATGTATAACAATAGAAACTGAACATGGAAGATAAAAAGTTTGGTGTGCAAACATTCTTAGAAAAGATTGGTAGAAAATAATAGGCATTTTTTTTTTTTTTCCAATAGAGAGCATTACCCTGAAAGAAACACAGACAGCTCATGTGCCCTGTTTTATGGTGACATTCCATCTAAAAGTGGAAAATAAAGCATGGTTTATTTTAGGAATTGGTAGTGCTCCCTCATAAATTCAGGTACCTAAGCGAGATGAATAAAAAAAACTACAAGAGTTAGCCAAGCAGTCCAACTGAGTGGGATAAGTGGAAAACTGAAAAGCCAAATGTGGCTGTGTCATGCAGCTGTAAGTCACTCTTTGGAGCACCCTTATTGAGCTTATGCACAATAAACCAAATTTCTTACATGGTGATTAAGTTTCAACACAACGAATGCCGATAAATCTGACTGCAAAATTTTTCAAGACTTCGTTGACATACCTACATAAACGAGTAAAAAAGCACTGTGCGCATGTCAGTGCACCCATATGGCAAGCCAATTGTTGCACATTATAGGGTAAATCATACTGACCTTCCTGTGGTTTGACCTAATTAGGGCTATGAAGAATCCGTGTTTATTTTAGTGACCTTCCCTGTCAGAATTTGTAGGCTAAACGGTCCTAAATAGGACTGCAGAACAATTATACTACCCTCAACTTACTTTACTACTTCCCTAATGAGAAAAAGCAAAAATGAACATCTAAGGTATAAAGATTATATTGCCCTCAAACCACTCCTTTCCTCTCCATTCTTCTCCATCTCTTTGTTCTTTCTCCTCTCCCTTCTCTTCTTTCTCATTCCCATCTCTCTCTTAAACTTTCTCTCCCACCCAACTGAAACACGGACATGGATCATCTCCAATACTTTTTCTCACCAATCGTCTCCAATCCTAAATCTAACCATTAGAAAAACACCACGCTAGTAAGCATTTCTGTTGGGATTAAGTAATATATAAAATCATAACATAGTGAGTAGTTACACGAGTGATGACATGACAATTTTTATCTGGGGAATGCCTGTGGAGCTGATAAATGCTATCCACCAAAGCCTAACTCTAAGGAATTTTCTGGAGGGTATTTTGATAATTTTTACACTTATTATGTTGTCTAAGTGCCGGGTATTTTGCCATTCAAAAATCTCTGTATTGTTGTCCCTTTTTTTATCATTACAGTGAAATCCTACAAATTTTGGGTGAACCATGTGTTATGTTGTTGTGTGTGTTCATAATCCAAATCCACAAACCACCCGATTAAGAACGTAGTTTAGTGGGAGTCCATTGAGTGTAGGGGAGTTCAAAAAAAAAATAATAAAAAAATAAAATAAAAAATAAAAAATTTAAAAAGACATTAGCACAAAAAGGACAATATCACATGATCAAAAACTAATATATAGAATTGGATGTGAATTGTACCAAAAACATTTGTGTTGAAAGTGTGTTCAATTGCAGAGTGAGGTATTTCAGCCAGAGGGCCGATGCAATGGACACCGGCATTGTTGACGACGATATCAATGTGGCCGAAGTGTTCGAGCACGGTGGAGACAACGTTGTGGACACTTTGATCGGACAGCACATCCAGTTCTTGGAGAAAGAATCTCTGGTCATGGTCCAGGTCGGCCATGGACGACCGCGACCGACTTGTGGCCACCACCAGGCATTTCTCGGCCGCGAAGGCGCGTGCGAGCGCGTGGCCAATCCCTCCGGTGGTGCAGCCCGTGATCAGAACCACCTGTCCGTTGTGGGAGTCCATGGGGGGATTGAGAGCTTATTGTTTGGAATGTGATTCAAAGTTCATATATAAAGTATGTGTGGGTGTTCGATTTTAAATAGATATATATATATATATATATAGGAATATGTTGGAATATGTTAGTGTTTTGTTGTTGTCGTCCTATAAAAGAGACAGCAACTTGAAAATCTGCTGGTGTGGGACAAATGCAGTCTTGCACTCACCGATAAGATTTGTCAATATTATAGGGACCCATCAAGGACGGGTCACGGTAGCCCACTGATATCTCCCTATGTTTCAATTAACTATCAGTATAATAAATATATATATCGATGGATGTATAATTTAAATTTGTGTCAATAGGTAAGATTTTATCAGTACGATAAAGATTACAGACTAAGATAAGGATTACAGATTCCGATAAGAATTACAGAAAAGATTACAGATTCCGATAAGGATTGACCCTACAGATTATGATAAGGATTAAGACGACAGGAATTCTACCTAACATCCTGACCTAAGCCCTAATAGAGGGGGTTAATCGACGTTTTGAGGTACACAATAAATCTTAATTCAATTTCTTGATTTTTCTAGAGAGATTACTTCTCACACTGACTTGTTCGTCGGAGCCTACTCCACCGGTAACACACCGGTGGTTATAGGATCATCTTTTCTTCTCTATATTCAGGAAGTCAGATCAGATCCGGGTTGCGCAGAATCCATCATCAACAGTTGGCGCCGTCTGTATTAAAATATTTTTGTTCTCTACACAAAGCATGGTTCGATTGCGATCTGGTCTGGCTGCTGGCGAGGATGAAGCGTTGCAGGCTTCTAATAAAGGGGACTCGACGGGGCAACCCCCCGTCGTCCCAAACGATCAGGAACGTGTCACAGCGTTAGAACAACAGGTTCAAACCTTAGTCCAACAACATGTGATGATTTGCAACGCTTAGCCGCCCCCAATGAGGAGAGAAACAGTGAAGTACCTAACAATGACTCCCGTAGGGTTAACAACGATGTTGAGCTTAGTCAAATAGGGGGTCAACAGAGGAGCCATCACCATCGGTCCCCTAAACAGAATACCACTAGGCTCCGTGGAGATACTTCTAGTTATGTTGGTGGTAAGACTGAGGACGCCACTCATTTCGATCTAGAGATTCAGGATATGAAAGCTAGAGTTGACGATGTCATACAAGCGATGAAAGGGAAGGGCCAGGCTGCAGTGAACGATATGGTGTAGAAAACCAACCTAGCTTTTAGCTAAGCTGTTATGAGTTGTCCTCTACCTAGAAAATTCAAGATGTCAACTCTTAAGAGCTTCGATGGGACGCGGGACCCTCTCGACCATTTGGAGACCTACAAAACTCTTATGTATTTACAAGCCATACCAAACGAGATTATGTGCAGGGCTTTCCCTACCACACTAAAGGGTTGGGCTCATCTCTAGTTCAATAAATTAAAACTAGGCTTCATTGAAAACTTTGAAGAGTTGAGCAAATAATTCATAGGACACTTCATCGCTGGGCAGAGGCATAGGAGGCCAGCAACACATTTACTGAATGTGAAGCAGCAGAAGAGAGAGCCTCTCCATGATTACATAAGTCATTTTAACACTGAAATGCTGCAGGTAGAAGAGGTGGACGACAAGGTTGCCCTAACAGCTTTTATGGGAGGACTACAAACCTCTAAGTTCCTATTTTCCTTGTCAAAGGAAGCCCCTACGAGCATGACAGAGTTAATGGTTAGAGTGTAGAAGCACATGAACGCTGAAGATGCTATGAATGCACGAAAAAACAAAGATGGTGAAGATAAGAGGTCGGATAAAAAGAGGCCAGCACCTAGCACTAGGGAGGAAAGGGAATCGAAGTACAAGAAATTCTCAAACAGCCAAGCTAACAGATCATCCACCGTTCAGTGAGCCCAGGCATGTATAATAACTACACCCCCCTAAATACATCTGTAGAGCAGGTCTTTCTGCAAATTCAAGATGACGCATCATTGAAATGGCTGCCAAAGCTAAAAGCTGATCCAACAAAGAGGTCTCGAGATAAATACTGTAGGTTCTACCGGGACCATGGACATAACACAGAAGATTGTTTCGACCTTAAAAACCAGATCGAGAACCTTGTTTGTAAGGGTCATTTACGCAAATTTACGACTGGGAATGAAAAATGAGGCTCCAACCCAGCCCGAGAGGGCCAAGATGATCGCCCTCCTCAACACCAACCAATGGGTGAGATTAGAGTTATATCAGGTGGCTTCGTTGGTAGTGGGGAGATGAGTTCGGCTCGGAGGGCTCATGCCAGGAGAATTCGGAGTTTTTCAGAGGTGAATGAAGTTAGAGTGACAAGTCCGCCAACAAAATTACCGCGAGTTAAGGAGCCAGTCATAACCTTTTCTGAAGAAGATGACAAGGGCATTCACCAACCCCATGATGACCCTCTGGTAGTTTCCATGGTCGTCGCTAATTTCACTATTCGACGAATACTGATAGACAATGGTAGCTCGGTTGACATACTATTTATTGGGGTGTACGATAAATTAAAAATCGGCCGAGAGAAGCTTGATACATCTTATCGCCTCCTGGATGAACAGAGAACTCAGAGTGGTGAGTCTCAGTCATCACATTTTTCCTCAAATCATCAGCAGAAGGTACCATTAACAGACCCTTGTACCGTAAACCTCCATCAGCCCCAACATGGTAGAATGGAACCTCTCCGGAAGTTATCTCTGCAACTTTGTCGATACACTACTGATCGGTGAGTTGTGCTTGTAAAACCTTGCGAATAATGGAAGGTGTAACCACCATGCAAGCCATAAAAGCGTCTGATAACTCATCTACATTCTTCAAAGCATTCCACTCAGTGGTGAATAAGGCAAAAAGACTACCAACAGGTTGACGACTGAGTGCATCTGCTACCATATTCGCTTTCCCTGGGTGATACTGTATCGAGAAGTGATAGTCTTTCACGAATTCCAACCACCTGCGTTGTCTCATATTCAGCTCCCGCTGAGTGAACAAATACTGCAGACTCTTGTGATCGCTGAATAATCTGAAGGACTCACCTAACAGATAATGCCTCCATATACGTAAAGCAAAGGTCACAGTTGCCAACTCCAAATCATGTGTTGGATAATTAAGCTCATGAGGCTTAAGCTTCTGAGATCTATAAGAAATCGGTCGCTCCTTCTACATCAAAACACATCCAAGACCCTGCAACGAAGCATTTGTGTAAACAAGATATTCGATCCTGCTCTGAGGAGTAGCCAGAACTGGTGCAGAAGTCAACTTCCTTTTCAGCTCATCAAAAGCTCGCTGACAGTGCCCATCCCACACGAACTGTACACCCTTCTTAGTCAGATGAATGAGTGGCCCCGCAATCTTAGAGAACCCCTGAATGAACCTCCGATAGTATCCTGCTAATCCGAGAAAACTCCGAATCTCGATAGGTGAAGTAGGTTGTCCCCACTCAACCACAGCTGAAACCTTGGCTGGATCTACTGCTATCCCCTTTTCTGACACCACGTGACCTAGAAACTTCACTTCCCACTGTCAAAATTCACACTTCTCGAATTTGGTATACAGCTGGTGCTCACGAAGCATCTGCAACACCATCCGAAGATGTCTCACATGATCGTCCTCCGATCAAGAATAGATCAAGATGTCATCAATAAAGACAATTACAAACTGATCCAAATAAGCCCGGAAGACTCTGTTCATTAAGTCCATGAACACTGCTGGTACGTTAGTCGTCCCAAATGGCATGACACGGAACTCATAAGATCCATATCTTGTAAGAAATGCAGTCTTAGGCACATCCTGCTCCCTAACCCTCAACTGATGATATCCAGAACGCAGATCAATTTTGGAGAAATATGTGGCTCCCCTTAACTGATCAAACAAGTCATCAATCTTGGGCAAAGGATACTTGTTATGAATCGTAACCTTGTTCAACTCCCTATAATCTATACACAGCGAAGCGAACCATCCTTTTTTTTCACAAATAACATCGGTGCTCCCCAAGGTGATGTACTCCTACGAATAAAACCCTGGCTGAGTAATTGTTGAATCTGATCCCTCGGCTTTCTCTCTCCATCGGTGCCATCCTATAGGGTGCCCTAGCAATAGGCGTAGTGCCTGGAGCTAAGTCTATCACAAAATCGATCTCGCGACTAGGTGGCAACCCTGGAATCTCCTGAAATACATCCGGGAAATCCTGTATAATCGGTATGTCATCCAACAATACAGTAGTCCCCTCATCCGTTTCCTCCTTCACATAGAATAAATAGGTGCTACCGCCTCCTTTAGAACGTGGCATAGCTACTACATACATATCCTGACCAGGTATGGTAAATATAATAGATCTACCAAAATAATCAACTTGGGCATAGTAGTGAGACAACCAATCCATCCCAAGTATCACATCATAAGTGTGCATGTCCAGGACCAATAGGTTGGCTAGAAACCTGAGTCTACCAATATTTAGTGTCACAAGCCCATCACTCTCATGTGTAAAGGCCGTATCGCCCAATGGTGTAGAAATACCCTGAGGTCTAGTACATACCCTCTTCCGCATCCCCAATAAAACAACAAAAGTCCTAGCTACAAATGAGTGTGTAGCACCCGTATCAAATAAAACACATCCATGAAAACCATGTATAGGAAACTTACCCACGGCAGCCTGAGGTGCCTGCATATCCTGTGGCTTAGGGTTATACACCCTGCCATAATGTAATTGCTGCGGTGCCTGTCCCTGAGGCTGTGGCGGAGCTGGTATTGCCGGATAAGTCTGTCCCTGAATCCGAGGAACCTGTGGAGCTGGTAAAGGCACTGACGCCCTCTGTCCTTGCTGTACATGCTGTCCTTATCCCTGTCTGACTGTAAGACACTGCCTAGAAGTGTGACCATACTCCCCATAAGTGTAACAACTACCTTGGAAACTACCGAATGGCCTCCTCTATCGGTTAGCCTGTGGCTGACCCTGTCCTACCTGTGGTCCCCCATTCTGTTGTCGCTGAACAGGTGCCACATCCCTGGGAGCATCTGAACCCCCCTTGTGCTTCTTCCAAGGCTGTTGTCCCTGGAATCTGCCCTTGTCATTCTGTCGGTGTCCATTCCCATTCCTTTTTTCAGCTGACTGGTTAGCAGAGTCTCTATCACCCCG